TTTTTCCGTTTTCATATGGCAACAACATAGAACTGTCAGTTTGACACTACGTTAGACAATTCAAGAATATTGAATTTTGTTGTTTTTGCGAATTTGAACTTGTGTTTTTGGTTAAAAATTATGTCGAAGCCGATAAAAAGTTCATCGAGGAAACTTCTTTCCATCATGATTGACAAGTTTACTGAAGTGAAAACTGAATTAAATAAAAATTTCATGGAGAAATTACAACGATTAGATAAAGTTGTATCTTTTTTAGGTTAGTTTTGTATTAAATTTTGATACTTTCGTTTTAATTTTCTGTAATTAACTAAACAGATATTTTTTATAAAATATTGCTCTATTTCAGATAACTGTAATGGTGATATTCAACCAATAATGGAGGAGATAAATGCAATAAAAACTTTAGAAAAACAAGAAATGCTGAATTCGGAAACGCAGTACTTACAAAAAATTTCTTCAATGACAGGTCTCTTTTCTTGTTTTGATTTAAGATAGATTGATAGTATTCCTATAATATTTACATAGGTTTTTTATGATGTATTGGTTTTTATTGTTGACATCCAATGATGTCATAAGAATGTTTTGTTTAACAAGGAAATTCACAGAATTCATGAAACTAATCAAACCATGTAATTGTTATACATGCTAAATATGCACATAAACTTAACTAAATTAAACATAAATTGCATTCATAGTTGAATAGGTATTTAAATTATTTTGATGTATGTGTCTATCATTATTTGCTTTTAAATACATTTAACATATCTTTGTTTCAAAGTGTTTAATCTTTTATAGATGTAAGTATAAGGACACTAAGAAGGATAAAAAATGAAGCATTAATTAATAAAGGAAAATGGGACACTCCTGGGAAAAAACGACCTCATCAACCAACAGTGTCTGCTTTAGATAATTTTGATTTAAGTGCAATTCGGAATAAAGTAAATGAATTTTACTGTGTGAAAAAAATTGTTCCAACATTAAGAAGCCTTCACAATGAATTAAAAGATGCAATAGGATTCAGTGGTAGCCGTGAGACTTTACGAAAAATTATGCTTAAGAATGGATTTTCTTTTAAAAGCAATGAAAATGAACGTTCTATGCTTATAGAAAAATACCAGATTTCTGCATGGAGGCACAAGTATTTGAGAGAAATAAATATAAAACGAAACGAAGGAAAGCAAATTGTGTACCTTGATGAAACTTATGTACATCAGAATTATAAAGTTAAAAAGTCTTGGCAAGGACCTTCAACAACTGGTGTCACTACAAAGATATCCTCTGGAAAACGGCATATTGTTGTGCATGCTGGATCTGAGGAAGGTTTTGTGCCTGGTGCATTATTAGTGTTCAGTAGTAAATCCAAATCTGCTGATTATCATGATGATATGAACTCATCGAACTTTATGAAATGGGTCAGAGAAAAATTAATACCAAATTTAAGTAAGCCCAGTGTAATTGTTATGGATAATGCCAGCTACCATATAAAACAAATCAATAAACCGCCTATAATGTCTAATACCAAAGCAGATATCCGTAAATGGCTTGTAAATAATGGAATACATTTTGAGGAATATCAGACAAAGGCAGAGTTAATGTGTTTGGTTAATGATAAGAAAACATTGCCTGTATATGAAGCTGAAGAGATTTTAAAAGAACATAATCATGAACTTTTATTGCTGCCACCGTATCATTGTGACTTAAACCCAATAGAGATGGTTTGGAGTCAAGCAAAAAGAAAAATTGCAAGCAGAAACATTGGAATACCAGGAAAGGAAATGGAAAACTTAATAATAGAGTGTTTTAACTTAATTACCCCTAGTGACTGGAAGAAATACACTGATCATGTTTTAAATGTCGAAAATGATTACAAATTAAAAGATGGCATTGTTGAAAACGAACTTGAAAAATTTATTATATCTGTTGGTGCAGACAGTAGTGAAGAGAGTGACTCTGATGATTCCTTGTCATTGTTATCAGGTGTAGAATATTTAGAAACAGATTTTGACTATGAATCAGACTAAAGTATTTTTAGTCTGATTCATAGTCAAAATCTTATCTTAAATTTTCTATTGTGATTAACATGATGATTTTGTGACACCTGTATTATGTAATTTATCCATGGCACTTAATTGTAACAAAAATAAATGTTTTTTTTATTGTAATCTGGTGTTTATATTGACTAATTTAATTTGATAGATAGTGGTTCTGGATCAGAGCAAAAGGTTGTGATGAAAATCCCTTAGGAGACATGTATGTGTTATGAACACATTATAAATATAAGGGCCAGAAATCAAAATTGGCTAACATCACATTTATTAAAAAAATGTGGCCAGAGTCGCCCATATTCATTACAAAAAAACAAAGAAGTCGTTGCAAAAAACACCCTTTTAATTAATGACAAATATGAATTTTTAATATTATAAGTGCTGTTAGCCAATAGGTATAACGAATGGGTTAAAAAAAAGATTCGATTTAGTCCGTCAGTCAGATAATAGAAAAATATTGGATACGTATTTTTTTTCGCTTTAATTTAACAACAAATGGCTTAAGAGGTACTATGCGACGACTTTAAATATGCTTTGCAACAATGTTACTTTAATACAGTTTATCGATACGAAATCAAGTGTCAAAATGGAGTCCAGTGGAGAATGCCGATATTGACATTTCGAAATTGCTCATCATTGATAGAGAATACGAAATAGTGATTTTGACACAATCAAAGTGTCTATTTTTTACGGTGATGACGATTCTTGGTTGTCAGTTGAGTTAGTGAATAGGCCTACTGATATGCTGTTAACTGTACAATTAAGAACAGTCACGCTTTAGTCAAATGTTCCAAAACAAATAATTTTAATTGATATCTAAATGTTAAGATTAAATATAATTAATAAAAGTATCAAAATTATTTTGCAGTACTACATTCAGTGTTTACTGCTTAAGAATTTTTGAAATTGCCGCCCTTTTCTTGTGACACGTTTCGCTTGCCAGACTCTATTATAAAGATAGTGTGTTGACTTCATGGTGATCTATAGCACCCTAGTTTCCGATATCCGTGGTTGACGGTCAAATATGCTTACGTGATTCTTGAAGGAGGTGCTAGAAAATAGGTGAGGAGCCTCTTCAGTTAGAATATCTTTTGAACCTTAGTAAAGTTGAGCTAACGTAATACTAAGTAACGAAACGGGTAATTGATTTTAGACTAGATTCAAAACTAGACCGTCCTACAAGCTGGTAGACAAAGAAACAGACACATCAAAAATATTATTATACACTTATACGTACTAAAATCATTTAAGAGTTTACCATCGGTCTACAACGTGTCAAATAAGTAATAATATTTAATATAACTCGTAACTATACTTTGGATTAATTTGTCAAAGTGAAGTCCTGAATGATCTGTCAGATCGACAGCATATCGATCAGAATTAGTGTGAATTGGGACCGATTAATTCCGATTGGTGTTTTGACAGTTCACCCGTCAGCCTGACAAATGATTCCGGAATTAATTTTGACAGTCAATCCAGGTTTCAGTTACGTGGTACAGTCACCGAACCATCTCCACACCAAATCATTCTTTCAACCAAAAGCAATCGCTTTCCGAACGAATGTGATTTGAATGATCAAAAAGATAATAAAAATATAGTTAGTAACGTAAACTTAAAGTATATATTTGCGTCTAACATATGCTTTAGATAATTCCAAATAACGATATTGTTCATTCAATATTTAAAAAAACCGTTGTCACATGTAGTTGTAGCATGAAGCTTGTGAATATCTTTCAAATATGAAATTGAAGGGATTGGAATAGATTTTGAATTAGACAATTAGGCCGCTATCTACGATTATTGCAAAATGTTTTCAATGACTCGCAGTATCACCTAGGTGACTTGTTTGTAAGGTTCAACGATCAAGTAAGAAAAGTATCGATTTAATATATTCATAGTCCACAAAATTGTGGTAAATTTTCGATGAGTGGGGTAACCACCTGTGACTCACCGCGTGACGAATGTTAAATGGGAACCGAGGGGATTTTTATGGCAACACTTCTAGTGTGGGGTTATTATCTGTCTGCACCTGTTTCAGGGTGCAGTTCATATGATGATTCAAATAAATAAATACGCAAGTTTAATTTTAAAATAATATGATGCGAATGTTGAGGACCGGCAGCTAGACCGACCGATGTCTTTTTATACTTATTTATATTTTGATTTTTTTAATGTTTATGTTTTTTTTTTTAAATTTTATGTTGACGTTACTGAGAGAATTATTTTCACACCACCTTCACCTTCGCCACCTTCGTCATTAACAGCGAATTTTTAACATAAATATAAGTAATAGGCAAAGAATAGGCAAATAATTTACTCTTTCTATTGTAACATTAAGTTTGCTATTGGTATTCCAAGATGTTTCTCGCTTTAGGATATGGGCTATTGCCCATATCCTTCCTCAGATCTAAAACAATCTCTTTAACAAATTCTATAGGTATAATCAGCCCGGTGGCTGATTATTATTACCTGTGAAAGCATAATATTTAGACGGGTAAAGTCGATTGCATTTGAATTTTATTATAATACGTAATGGATTAAAGTTTACATTTAACAACGCAACTTTTTTAAACTTCAATTAGAGAGTTAGAATTTTAAGTATTTAGCCCAAATACCTTTATCAGCAGGAAGATGATTGTTGACATTACGTCCGGTGACGAAACTTCAATATGTCACACTCTTTAAGTTTTTTACCCAGTCAAATATGAATTTTAGGAAGCAGTAATAAAGTCTTATTTACTGTGACGATTAGTTGTCAAGACAATGTTATTAATGCAAGTTACACGATGTATGTATGTCACATGTGTCTGGATAGTAACAGGTGAACATAAACGAACAGAACATTGTTAAAAGTTATTTTTTTATAACTTATTGGTAGTATACTTTCCAAGATAAAGTCATATTACCAGTTGATTAAGAGGGAAGGGAAGTTCAAAGAAAACATGGATAGCAATAATGAAAGATCTGGTTTCATGTTCACCAGACTTTAATGTCATCACTTCTGGAGCTCAGGACTTCCCTAGGGATGGAATCGACTCAAATCAAATAGTGAGAATGGGCCATGAGCACGACCCACCATGTGGACCCAGTGCGGATTGGTGAGTGTTAACGACTATTGATGTAGCCAGGACCAACGGCTTATCGTGCCATGCGAAGCACGGAAGAGCACGAGGTTATAAATTTTTGGTCACCCATCCTATGACCGGCCCTTGTGAAAGTTGCTTAACAACCGTATTGCAGACAGAGCGCACTATCTAGTTAAAAAGAAAGTAAATGTTGTGATATTGAGAGATATTTAATGTCAAGAAATGTTAAGCAAGTTTTGAAGAAAGTTATTTATAGTTACTAATGTTGTAAGTAGTAAATATTTGGTTTTATGTTTTTTTTGTACACTCTAAAACTACTGGACTGACTTAAAATCTCTTTGATCAAGATAAAGCTGCTTACATTATGAGCGAATATACTCTTCAAATTTTTTGCTATTGGGCTAAAGAAAAATTTGTATGGAACCAATTCCTCACTTTGTTCCACCATGGGATTATACAATTAATTTTATAAGTAATGATTTCTGGCCATATTTATGATAAACTTGTTAGAATTAATGAGAGTATTTTCGAAAATTTCACTTACTATAAACAAAGTTGATACCAGTTTTTATTCCATTAGGATGGAAAACAATAACAATGTATGCAAATATCTATATGCTTTGTAATTGCTTGGTAAAAATAAGGATACACCACAATCGAAAATAGTGCAATGATCTTGTCAATAATTGCTTGAAATAAAACCTAAAACTCGTCCTTAAGCAGTAATTATATTCAATTTTAAGTAAGAGTACACAATAAAAGCAGTTATAATAAAATTATTTTACTTTTCAGAATGTTTAAAGCATCATTGATGAAAACATTGTATAGCATCTAAAATCTAACGTCGTCATTGTGAATAATAAGGAAGCGTACACACTTGCAACAGTGCCTCGCTCAGGTACTGCGATTTCACGGGCCGCTCACTCATAAAAGCGTCCCGAGTGAGCAAGAATTGGGTATTTAGACACGCCGACTGTTCACCGGCGGCGTTGTTGAATGCGGACAGATGTACCAAAATTAGCGTTTCTTCAAAACCGTCCTCCATTCATAGATTCTTGAGCAAAGCTTTTTCTTGTTAAGCTTAAACTACTGGATGTTATTTAAACGAGACGATAATAATGTAACTTCTTGAATGGCAGTTTTAAAACTTGATGTCTGTGTATTTGTAGTATGTGTATTGCATAAAATTTGGAATGTTCTGTCTCGATTAACATGAAGTTATTATTTGTTCGAGAAGTTCGATTGACATTACAGTTTAGAATTTTACAAAATATTTAATGTCAAAGAAAATTTTATATAATAAATTTAAAATAACTATAGTTGCTTATTATTTTAAATTAGAGGGTTAAAGGTTTGACAATTCATCATTCAGAACAACAAATATTATTAAAATTATTTTAATTGAACATCCAGGTTTCCAAGAGTTACTTGATATTAAACTTTAACTCTGAGATTCAAAATCAGTTTCAGAAATATGATATTTTGAAATAATCTGTGTAATGCTGTATATTGCTCCACGGTGATTACACTTGTACTGAAACGTTGCAATCAGAGTACGAAATCATGATATCTAGATTTTTGTTTATTTGTAACCTCTTAGCCACGGCCATTTCTGTGTAGACTTAAAAATATAGTCTCAAAAATTATTATATTTATATTAAATTAAATCTGATCCCTTGTTATCTTATTCTTTAATCCATATTTTGCATATTCTCAGTATTTTATAAATACCGTATGAATATTTTCAAAATCATATTGCTCGAAGTCTATCACGCTAAACAAAAACTTTACAAAGTTACTTTTTATTCCGTTTGGTCAAAAGAAAAACCATTTAACATTAATTTATACCTTCTTAACATTTCTTTTATCATATATTGTGTTAAAAAGTTTTACAGGAAAAAATAAATGTTAAGAAAGGACTTTCAAAAAGGCCGATTTTAAACTTCACTTATGAATAACAATTGACGTACTTTAAGTGTTGTGCAACTTTTACAGATAAAATTATCTACACAATATTTACGTAAAAAGTATCGATTACCACTTTTAAAGTTCAAATACGAGACAATTTTCATAGTGATGTGATGATGAATATCGAACGGGAATGGTGTGCTAACGGCTAATGTCAATTTCTATGAACACATACGTTTCATGAAATGACTTGAAAGTTAAACATGTGTTTATGTTTAATTAGAAAAGAATGATTGAGTGAGATAAAACGAAAATAATCACACATATAAAAAGTACTATGTAAGACGTATGTATAATACAATAAATAATAATGTTTGTAATCCAACCACATGTTCCGATGGAACGTTTTTGGCAGACATATGATGAAATAACACTAGCGTCGCAAACTTGGCTGTGTTAAGATATATTAAGAAAACTTATATAAGTACATAATTAATACATTCTTATAAATATACTGACTTTCATGTTAATGACATTTATTTAATAAAATGGATTGTTTTAAAACAACTTGTCATTATTAACTAACCACTTACTCTTTGTATAGTCGATGACACATAAAGATGAAGCGGCTTAAGTAGTCCAATCGATTTTAAACTTTAATTTGTTCATAATAAAAACCGTATATCAGCATATACGGTATACGGTATGTATATATGTATATTTATAATTCATGGTATTTCTTTACGTTATTTGTTATTTAATTAATAATTGCGTATAGTTGTCATAGCAACACAAAAAGTAACCATCGATATTAATATTTAGAAACACTGTCACATCACTAAGCGGCGATAAGGCGGTACTTCACACAGCCGCGTCAATATTGACATGTGAGATTTTTAAGTAATTGCCTCGCCTTAATGCTGATGCCGCTTATGTGTAAATGACTTTACTGCAGTTATTGTTATACTGCACACACTGACAGAACGTTTTATATAAAAAATATATTTTTAAATATAAAATGAGATTTGCTTAAAATACTTTATTTGAATTATTTTTTCTTTATAAAATGTATTATAAATTGAATTTGTACTACGTTTTAGCTTGTGGGTTATTCTTATTAATTTTTACTTCAAAATTTTTCATGAAGATTGAATTTTCAAGTAGTTCAATTTAAAAGGTTTTCGTTACTTGATATGAAGATTTGCTGAAAAGACTACTAGTATTATTATTTTATTTTACTATTATTTAGTTACCAGAGATGATTGAGCTTTTTATATACATATTCCAATAGAATTTGTACTACGTTTTAGCTTGTAGGTATTTCTTTAATTTTGACTTCAAAATTTTAATGAAGATTAAATTTTCAAGTAGTTTAATTTAAAAGATTTTCCTCACCTGATATGAATCCTTATCAACTGCAACTTGCATAATCCAGACGATTACTTTGAAACGAGTAACTTACCTATAGCGACACGATTTACTTGAGAAATAGCTACGAGAACTTATATCATTGCTAACGTAATTACAGTCTACATATATTGCGTTTAGTTTTAAAGTTATCATTAAAATAAGCTTGTGACTAAAATTATTTTTAAATAAATTAACTTAAAAACTGTCAGTTCCTAAAACTATTACCTAGCGGAAGTTAGGAAACACCAGCAGTAGGAAATCGGTACGTTAAGTTGGCAATACTATTATTCAGTGTTGCCAACTTAATTGCTTTGAGCACGCAATAGTTTCATTAGACTTACGATTAGTGCTTTTGTGTAACAGATATCGTTTCATTTTTTCTTTATGTATTTATATTTTTTAATGTGAAGTATGAGAGAGAGAGAGAGAGAGAATTCACTGCAATAAATGAGATTTGAAAAATAAAGGAATTATGAATGTTTATATTTTCTATTCCTATAAACAATTTACACTGACAAGTTATTCGCTTTATTTCAAATTCATTAAGCGCGTTTCATAGCAAACGACATTGTACAGATAGAATTATATTGTTTAAGACAAAATAATGCCAAATTGATTGTTTTGTAATCCCTACCTAAGAGGTAACAGTGTAATAAAATAACAATGTTTAACATCTACGAATGAAATGCTTCCGAGTAAGTGCCCTCAACAATGCGGTAATTAACCGTTGAGATGTCCGTTCGCAACAAGCTCTTCAACTCAAATGAGGAATGCCACTCGAAGACAACAAAACTCGCTATTACCTACCCCCGCTTTTGTTCTATTTTTGAAAAAATATTCTCTCTATTCAAACGGGCCAATGGGAACGGGCGCGGTGTAGTACGTTGATTGGCCGACGACCTCCCTTCGGTGCAAGTGGAAATAAAAAGTGCTCGGGTAAATGAGGCGTTCTGTCCTCTTCTGGCTTGTTGAGTTTGTCGTGTGTTGTTTCGCTCAGTTTTTCGTTTTAATTGCAGGCATGAGAGGATGTGCAAAGGGTTGTGGACCTTGAGTGTTGCACGTGCAACCTCCATGCTGGAATCGGCGCATTCAACCTCGTTGGAGGGCGATATTTTTATTGGGACGAATTATGGGGGTTTGATTTTGCAGATAGTTCTTTATGTTGTTGTTACGTGATGAATATACATGATCCATGAGCGGATATTTAACATATTTGATTTTATTAATAATATTTGAGATGAGATACTATGATTTACATTCGATGTCAGTAGGTATATATATTGCATATTTGGATCAATTTTTAATTTAAAAAAAACTGCAGCAACAGCTATATCTAGCTTTTATCTTTGTAGCAGATGGACTGTAGCTGGATTTGAAAGCGGGCAGGTAGAAGAGGTCTCGAATAAAACACTTGGTTCGGAGAAACTCTGAGAACGTTCGAAGGCAGAACATGCTTTATTGCGCAAAATCGATTTCTTATATACAATTTGATTGATCGCACTTAGCTCATACATAAATCAGTTAGTCTTATTAGATTCCTTAGAGTGGGGGTACATACACTACCCCGCACCGCGCGGGGAGGGGAAGGTTTCGTTGTTTCTCCGTTGGTAGCGCTGTCCTTTACAATCTTGCAAATATTTTTTTTATATATGAAAATTGTTATGGGTAGAATAAAAAAAAAGAAAGAATGGACTACAATCACTAACTAATTACTCGAGTGTGGTATTGGTGGATGTAAACGATCGTATTAGAATTTCAAAGCATTGAATAAGCCTCAATGTACAAACATTCTATTATTATCCTTTTCGTTATCATTTCGTAGTTGTGTGTTTTATAAATGATTTTTTAATTTATTTCAGGAACTTAGCAGCGCCCAGGGTACCAAGTGAATCAGGCAACGCATCCCTCGAAACATTCACAGCTCTACATAAAGAAAACTGCCACAGATTGGAGTTCCTAGTTGAAAGGCAAAAGCAGTTATGCACGCTCTCCGATAAAATGATACAGGTAATTAATTATTTTTATTACTAATGGTCTGCCCTAGTTTGGCACGACAAAAATAAATATTATACCCGCTACGTAACTCCTAGTTAGCTTAACTTTTACGACATCTGCAACAGTTTATAATAAAGTCATACTGCGGTAATTCATATAAAACCTTTATGAGTGTCACACCTAAATTTTTCTCATAAAATCTTTCGGTCATTAGACAGTATGATATATATGAACTAAAGTTCGATAGCTTTTAAATTTATTGCATGTAAACAGACGGATATGAATGGGGTACTTTATTTAGTAAATATGTAAGAAATAATCACCAGAAGCTCTATGGCGCAATGTCAAAAGTTAATCAACTTTTGCTAGGGTTGGCACCAGCGTGGGTGACCAAAAAAAGATATAATCACGAGTGCCTTCGTGCTTCGGGAGACACGTGGTCTTGGCTGCATATGCAGTCGTTAACACCCGCCACGAATTGGACCTGCTTGGTGGGTACTTGCGCATGTTCTATGGAGAACGGGCCCTTGATTTCATTCGATTTCATCAATAGGAAAGGCTTGCTGTCCCAGTAGTGAAGACATTAATGGATTAAACTAACTTCTCTTTTAAGGAATAACATGGAAAATTTATATTTTGTATCAACAAAATTAAGCAATTTTCGGAACACAAACTTACGATTGGAATTCGGGTTTTAATCTTTTGTAGTAATAAATTTACGTAAATTCTACATGATGCAAATAAAGATCTTAATTTATAGTATAAGTAATCAAGAATACAAATAGCCAATCACTTGAAAAGCACTAATTAAAAGAAGATAGTTAATTGAACATTTTATTGGTATATAAAACTGAAGCTCGCAATCAAATCTTTTATGACTTCAATACGAAAATAATCGAGAGCTGTTTTAATGCCTAGAGCGATTAAAGTTATGCTTTCGCTAAGGTAAAAATATCGTAAAGTTACCCCGACACTTGTCATGAGTTTATTTTGTTATGATAGCTTCATTCTCTGACTCTATAGTCCAGGATCCGGCTGCTAAATCAAGCATATATTGTATAGTATTTGCTAGTGTGTTTACTTTACCTAATAATTACCCCTGTAAATATCGAATAGCAATTTCATACTTATAGCTATAGATTTCGATGATGCCATCTACGCCTATTATTTAAGGTACTATTCATTTGATGCCGGTCGGTAGTTACATTTTTGCTATTAGTCATTTTTCAAATGTGTGTGTTTGAACCATTCATATAAATTGTATTATTAATTGTTACCTGTAATATACCAGCGCGACCAAGCGATAAATTTGATTGTTCAGTGTTCTAGCCAAGATAATTGGAACGTGATCTGAATTTTTATGGCAATTAACTGTTTTAAAACACAGTCACAGATATTTATGACCTTTATAAATTGAGCTGAACAATTAAATATTTAATATTAATGATATTAAAAAAAACCTGAATATAGATATATGGATACTTTTATTACTGACATATAATTATTAATGTCAATTTTACAATTTTAATTCGCAGAGGTGGTCTTATCGCTAAAAACTCTAAAATATCTTAACAATATACATAATAAAAATTACAATTGTAGTATACTTAATAATGAATATAAAAATTAACTATTAACCGGTCATTTAGTAACTTTATTACAACAGTCTCTCCCTATGGAGTTGTCCTTGTCTTTTTTTCACTACAGGATCTAATAGGGCCATTAGAATGATCGACTGCCAATTCGTGATCTTGATCAGATTGATGTCAGATTAATCAAATAAAAATATTTATTATTTGATCATGTAATGTGTTGATTGATGCCAGATTGAAATTGACCACATTCATATATTATTCAGACAATTTGATTTTTCACATCAATCCGTAACTTAGATCTGATCACGATCCAGATTGATCGTCTCATGGCAAAAGGTGTACATTGATTTTGGTTTATATAGAGCGACGGGAATTCTATCAGAGCTCAGAATTCGAAGGAAATTCGGGGTCAGGAATCAGCAAAAATCGTCTTATGTATATGCATGACGCAACGAATTTTGAACGTCATAATTTCAAATGTTTTACGTTAAACATAACTAACTCACAGTTAGTTATTTGAACTTAACATTAAATGTAGCATTGCTTAAGAGGAAACAACATTTTTTCTAGTTTTACGTATAAAAATACATTTTCGTAACTTATATTTAGTAAAACAGTTGTAACATGGTTTCAGGTTCTTCAAACGGGTGCTGTACAAGCAGTGGAAGAGTGCCAGCATCAATTTCGCCACAGTAGATGGAATTGCAGTACGAATACAAACCCTAATTCCACGGACATATTCGGTGGCGTCCTCAAGTTCAGTGAGTATACGCACTAATTTATATTCGCGCTTTTACGGCTATAGAAGTATAGAAGTTTTTACGGTTTCAGACATCATATTTCTACAATACACGATCATTTTGATATTGAAAAGTGTATTTTGGTTTCTGACTCATTCATTTTCTTTTCTTTATATGCCTTTCAGTATTTTTTCATTTCCATTTCACATGTTCGAAGTGAGCATACTAACATTGTTCTTAAACATTTAAAATCTAAGAGGGGTAATGAGAATCTGCAAACACCAGGTGCTGGAAGCCTGTTTCTACCGGAACCAGCTAAGTGGATCTTCGTCTTGAACAAACAGCTTAATGTTGGTATACTAAACAAATTAACATCTTCGCTTAAATGTGATTTGCTTATGTTTTCATATAAATGTTAGTTTTGCGAATTGATTTGGAAAAAATATATACGTATTTAGCGACATCTCAATTATTGATGTGTTATCAAGTTATGGAAGAAAGAAAGTTAAAATATACACTGTGGTTGTGGTTTACGAGAAACAGAGAACAAATCATGAAATAAATATAATCCCTCATATAGCAATTTGAGAAGTTTGAACTTGTAAATTGAACGACATTCATTACGGCGTTCTTTTGGAGTTTTCGTTGCGTCTCTTCTTGATTTGCTTAATTTAATTCCGTCGGTATCGACTATTTACAAATAAGCTTCCTAGTCATCAGAATTTTTGTCTTCACATAAAAGTGCTATAAATATTCATGTCGAAATACAAAATGGCTTTATAAATTAAAATGTAACCGTCAATAAATTTCAACCCAAACATTTCACACATAATTACTTCTACATTCGTCCCACGCTACTTCAAGACGTATTCAAGGGAACTCTGAATTGTTTATTTTCTAATGTCGACCTATCGACACGTGTGGTGTCGATAGAAGAGCTCACAGTATAACGTAAACCATAAACGCGGCCAGTATTACTGGAACCATGCTATTGCTTACATGCAGTGAGTTTTCACGCGATCGACTTAAAGGAGTTATTGAAATTGTTGTGGTTCCAAGCAATGTGGTCCAAGATTGTAGTACATTGAACTGATGTTCTGATTTTGAGAAAACTGGCTATTTTTGGGTGGTCGATTAACAGTTGCATCGGCGCCGGATGATGTGAACTATGTACCTCAACCGTCAAGTTGGTTTATTTATTTAACGTTGAAGACAAGCGTTTGATTGGTTCTTTAGTCTAGCACGCGGGTGGTGTGATGAGAATAGAGATTTAGATTAGAATTTTTTATTTCGTATTTTTCTTGAACAATTTGCTAAAATATGATGAACCAAACTAAAATGTAATATTTTATTAATACAAGAGTTAGGATTACGGTAATAATGAACATTAGTAAGAAACAGATACTTTAGTCCGAGATTCAGCAACAGCTGCTTTTGTTATTGTTTTTGAGTAAGACTGATGGATGTTTCAGTGTGTTATATCTTCGAAATATGTCACGCTTCATACGTAAGAGATCGAACTTTATTTTTCAGAGTCCCGTGAATCAGCGTTCGTTCACGCCCTATCGGCAGCAGCGCTTGCTCATGCTGTAGCTCGAGCCTGTAGTCGCGGTGAACTCAATGAGTGCTCTTGCGATGCCCGTGTTAGAAAACGTACACCACGTCACTGGCAGTGGGGTGGATGTTCTGAAGTAAGATTTTATCTGTTAAATAGTATTTGATTATTAATCATCCTAATAGAGCCTCAAACTTCATGCTGTCAATCTATGTTAAGAGTTTCGATAGCTAAGAGTCTCTAGTTGTCCTAACCAAAGTTGTCCTTACTTTTTAATTGATGGAATAGTGGCTTATGGAATAGTGATTTTAAACTCTATCTTTAAACCGTATCTATTTGCATTTATGTTTAAATTCAAGTACAGAAAGATAGTTTTGTATGACCTGACGTGTTATTGATTATACCTTATATATCGCATTTTTAAGCAAATTTAAATCTGTCAGAGTAAAAATATTCTTTATTAAATAATACATACATAATTATTTATAATACATACACATGTACTATTTAAGAGAACATGTTTAAAATTGCAACCACTATTAAAAATTCTCTTCTTTATTTATTTTAGGATATCAGATATGGTGAGATGTTCAGTAGAGATTTCGTGGATTCGAAAGAAGATAAAACCACAGACGAGGGATTGATGAACCTACATAATCATGAGGCAGGGCGAAGAGTAAGTAGCTAACAATGGAAACATATTAAGGTCAATGGAAAAGTTGCTAAGATCTTTGTATCAGTACTTATTGAAGTACCTACTTAAAGGAGTAAAATACACTTCAAAAACATTTTTTAATGGAAATGCATAACGCCAAAGAATGTGAAATCAAAGATATAGAAATGTATTATATTTGAACAATTTTGCATTCGCAATACTATCTTAGAAAATATTTTTAATGAGTGTTTAAAAAATCCATCAGTCTCAAGTACTGTGAGATCAAATATAATAATTAGAACAAATTTTCATTTTAATCGAAAGTTTAAAACAGTTGTAAATATAATTATTTCGACTGTTTGGGTGGTAAACATTGATGAACATACGGTCACTAGTAACAAGTGCTGGAAAAATCCGTCAGCCCTGTTAGGTTCTGAGTAGCTTAGTGGTTAGAGCAGTCGCCCGGATTGCGAATGGTCATGGGTTCATGTCCCATCTCAGAGTACCTGCGGTTGGTGGATTTCAAAGTATTTTTCACTAAAAATATAAAAATGTGATTAAAAAATAACTGTTTCAGCAATTAAAAATATCCATTTTCATAACATTAGTGATATCACTTATTTATTAGTCAGTCCTGTTAGGTGCTGGTTAGCTCTGTGGTTAGAGCAGTCAACCGGATTGCAATAGGTCGTGGGTTCGAATTCCATCTCAGAGTACTATTGACAAAGTGGATTCTTTAAGCATTTTTCATTAACAATATAAAATGTTTGAAAAAGTGCTCTGGAATTTAGTAAGAGAATCTGTCGCATTAGATTTATTTTTGCGTATCAAATTAGACAATGAATCTTAAACAGTTATTGTCAACATTTGCCCATTAAAGTCTCTACCTTCTTCACCTTCTTTTGGATATAATTTCACAGGATAAGCATACTGTATCCTCCCATGCGTATTCAGTGCGGTGAGTGAGAAGGACTGACGAAAATATAATCGGAGTCAAAGACTTAGCTTACCATCCTAAAAATTTGTCGCCTTATTATAAAACAAAAATCAGTTAGTAGTATTATAGGCCACCTAAAGCAAATTGACAACGACAGAAGAAAAAAGGTCAAATACAGTTGTGTTGACTTAGTTTGATCGGACTTGGTCGGTGATCGATTTAAACTTGGTACTGAAACTGATCCTCGTTGTGTAATAAGTCGCATGGTGCTAGAGAGTGATCTTTATGATAATACAATGCCCTCTCTTAATCGTAAAATAACGTGATAATAGGTTATGTTACCTTTTTACAGGCGGTTCGAAGTAGAATGCAGCGCGTATGCAAATGCCACGGCATGTCTGGCTCGTGTTCAGTCCGAGTGTGTTGGCGACGGTTGCCGCAGCTGAGGCTGGTGGGTGACGCGCTCACTACGAGATACGAGGGGGCATCACACGTAAAGGTATTCATGGTTAGCTAAGATCTTTCATGTTACACTTTATCGGTCTTATTACAAAACGAGAACTAACTTCAGTAACAGGTTTAGTTTAGTGCCAAAATAATTAAACACGTCTTCATTTGATGTTTTCTCTTGTGTCATCATCAACTGGAACTGGTTTTAACCAAGTACTAACTTAAGCCCTCGTTTTATAAAAGACTTAATCTGTGCACACTTCTGATTTTCCTTCAATATCTGAATCCTTTTTTTTCTAATCGAGAAATATATCTTTGTAGGCAAACGAATAAGCCTCTTAGCATTTAGCTTTAAAACTTTTTAACGTAGTGTTGAACTTCTCGTGTTGAAATTTTCATATAACAAATACATACCACAGGTCGTAGAAAGGAAAAGGGGCAAGACCATAAGGAAATTGCGGCCGTTGCACGCAGATATGAAGAAACCGAACAAAACAGATTTGGTATTTTTGGAAGATTCCCCGGATTATTGCGAGCCGAACGAAGAGTAAGTGAAACTTTGAAAGTACTTTGTATGATATATTTTTTCTTATCACAACTATAAGATTATATAAATAGTTATATCTGATATATTTTGCGGTCACATTGACCACTTCCGTGGCTGAGTGGCTCGTATATACAACAAAAAGAATTGAGCAAAATTATTTACATTATAATGTGTAACATTTGGCAGAGAGTTCAGCATATACTGCTAATCTTAGGTCGAACAGCTCTGGTTTTCAGTTCTCGCTTGACGCCTTATTATAATGATCTCCTTCGTAGCCTACGTAGCCGAGTGGTTCGCATGCCGGTTTTAAGGTGTCGCCATCACTAAGGTCCCGGGTTCGATTCCCAGTCGTGTTAATATAGCAAAATGACTTTTCTATATTGTCTTTAGTATGTGTTGCGATACCTTCGTTGTCTCAGATACTCAATAATACGGTGGCTTAGCTACTCATCTTGGAATCTGAGCAATGTATGTGATGTTGTTTAGTATTTATTTATTTATCTGCATAATATTGTTTACAGATTAGGCATATTAGGTACGCGCGGGCGCACCTGCAATCGGACGTCAGCGGGTCTGGACGGCTGCCGACTACTCTGTTGCGGTCGCGGCTACCAGACTCGCGTCCGAGACCACGAAGAGAAGTGCCGCTGCCGGTTCGTGTGGTGCTGCAAAGTCCATTGCGAGATCTGCCGTTCTAAACGGGATCATCATGTGTGCAACTAGATCAGCTGCTAACTACCAAGACTCGTAATACTTTTAGATATCTTATTTGATCGAGAAGTAGAAGGCAAATGTGCCTCGTGAAACATTTAAGTTATTCTGTGTGATGAAACAGATAACGGTGGTGTAGAGAGCTCAAGATACTATAAGTTTTATAAAACTTTAAGTTGTAGTAAGTGATTAAGAAGATGGAGTAGAGAACCCGAAATACTGTCTGTCTCGCAATATAGTAAAGTTGACAGTGGTAGCGGCCAAGATATCGTCTTACGACATTCTTAGTTCTCCATAGTAAGGAGTCCACTTATACATATATTGTATGTACTGATTAACTGAAATCTTTTTTAGCTTATTAACCCAGGGAGGTCACGTTTTTAGTGATACAAAATGTCCTTAGATAAATCATTTCTTTAAATGGTTAGGTTTTTTAATTGGTGATTAAATTTTTCTATATATCTACTAGCTTTCCGCCAGCGGATTCGCCCGCATAGTCTTGTATTATACATAAAAACCTTCCTTTTGAATCACCCTATTTATGAAAAAAAAAATCGTATCAAAACCCGTTGCATAGTTTTGAAGATTTAAGCATACATATATATAGGGACAGAGAAAGCGATTTTTTTATGCTATGTAGTGATATAAGGTGTAATATTATTATATGCCAGGACTTCGTGGGTGATTTAGTTAAGTATACTGAATGACATTTACTATGGGAGCAACACTGAATTCACAAAATATAATCTGCTGTTTTTATACTTGTAATAACTACAATGGTTGACAGTATGAAATAGCTGATTATTTTTTCGTGAATAATATAACTAATTCACCCCACGAAGTCCTGGCATATAATAATATTACGCATTATATATTGTTTGCAAAATTGCCCTTTGTGTAATTTTAAATATGTATTATTTACACCAAGACATTGAGATATTTTGTATTTCATTTAATAGTTGTTGTTATATAAAAATATCGCATTTAATGGAATTATCAATCTTCAGATGTAATATAATTTCATGTTATGCTTTATTCTTTATGAAACAGATGCTACTTTGCTATTCAGTAAAAGAAAAAGGTTTAATTTGACCTCGTTGGACAGAGCATCTAGTACAGAGCTATTGTTGAGCAACGCTGATTTTTTTGGCAGAATAGCAAATCTCTATTTTCTATCTTTACTTTTGATGGACTGATTTAGGATTAGTGATTATGTATTCTCTGAAGTTAAGCTTTAATATATTTACAGTATTACTAACTTATTTTATGTTTTCATATGTACAAATGTGTATATAGCTTATGTCGATACGATTCTCTTATAGATTTTAGTATGTAAAATGACTCGCTATATTTGTTCTGATATTTTATAATTTATAATGCATTTGTAAATATCATTTCAGTACTTAAATTAGTATAGTAATTTTATTTTCTACCTCATATAAACTATTTTGATCAAGCCATCCTTGTATTTTATTTAAAAATGTAAACATTTTGGATTTTCTTTTCAATAATATTAAGTATAAAAATAAAAAAATGTATATATCTAAAGGTCTCCTGTAAGTTAAAAATAGTAAATTATTTGATTAGATTGTGATAGTTTAAATCTTTATAGAGTTAGTTTTTAAAGTAGTTTTACATATTTTAATTATGAGGTCTCAACATCTTATAGTAAACTACGATGTAATTCTTGTAAATATTCTATTACTCTTGTATTATAGATTCGGTTCAGTGTATGTCTTCGATGTAGTAAATTAGTATTGTAACAAATATGACCTTCTTGAATAATTATTTATCGTTTAAAACACTCATGATGTAACTTACATCTCTTAGACTAAATTTTGTTTGACATTAAATCTAATGAAATAGAACAAAAATGAAGTATTGTTTTCGATTAAAGCCACGAGTTAGTTTAAATGTTTTGAAGTCCAATTGACACTGGCAATTATTTTAAGTAAACTTCAATGTATAATGATAACCAAATTTTAGCTAGGTACTTAATCGATGTAGGCTTAAGCTACTGTTAAAAAAAGAGTCAATGCAAAGACTTGTAGTATTTACCAATTTGGATATGAAATAGTTACTCGATGTGAATGGGGAAAAAATAAATGTATTAGAAACAGTGTATATTATGTGTATTAATCAATCCTAACATTTAATATGATTTAATAGAATTATAAAACGAATTTAGAATTAATGATATACAAGTAGTTACATCAACGGCATGTCAGCCACGTCAGGTACAAAACTGACACATATCTCCACTGGACTATAAACCTTTATTTTATTATACCTATAGAGATCAAAATCAATGACAATTGACATATTGTGATAGTCTGACATATACATCAACAAAATTAAGAATTATAGAAGATAAAGAGAAAACAACGACTATTTCATATCTGAGCTCACGGGTTCAAGTCCTGATTGTTTCAAAAAACGTTTTTTCAATTTCAATTTCAGTTGTCTTCGTCTTAGATAATACGAGTATTACTACCTATTTTAGAGCAATGTTGTTTTATATTTATTTATTAATAAATTATCTGGTACCTATGTGTAGCAGTAAGTAAAGAGGCAAGAGTTCGGTGCACGTAAATTAGCCTGAAAGGGTGAAGCACCGATTTTCAGTCATCACCCGGTTTACAGTGAGAGGGGCAGATATTAAGAAGACAATACACGAAAAAAAAAGAATAAGTTAATGGCAAAAACATATTAACAAAGAAAACCAATGACAAAAGTAAGAAAAGAGAAAGAGACATATAATAATACATTGAAGATTAAAATTCAATAGATTTAAACACATTCATATGTATATCCTCATGCATATGGACTCAAGGTGTCAAGGCAATATGTAGATTAATTGGTGCCAATATGATAGTGACCAAAAACTTATTTTTTATCTATTTATGATAATAATTTTAAAGGAGTAATTATGCTATCTCATCCAAGTGACGCGTATATTTTTTCATAAATGATATCTTAAATACGATCTTGTTTATAAGCACCTATTACTTAAAACACTTATCATTGCAGGGATATTGTACTTAAACACGTGTATCATCAGTTTATTTAAGAAGGGAACATTAAAACACTGCACAGAGAATTTTCAGTCTCATTTCCATATTTTTTTTACTATTCTCACTAAACCTTTATAATCACAATTTTAGAGTCCAAATGGATTACCTCGCCACGGGTAAACTCTTGGGCACACGTTGCAAATTTGCATCCAGAATTGTTCCTGTGAAATAAGAAAGTTGCTTATAAAAATTAAACAGTATTAGTCAATGTAATCAGTTCAGAAAATTCAGAAGTCAACGTAACTCAATGACTTAGATCTGTTGTGCTAAGCTTATTCGATATTCTTTTCTTTTTCATGTAAGTATATTAAAATACCATACAATTTTCAATAATATAATGATGTTTGTTAGTTCTAACGATATTGTAATACTTTATAGAAAACAATAAGTGATAGCCATCGCCGAATCAAATTATCAATTATTCGATACTTATAATATTACCATAAAGTATTGAAGAATCAAAAAATATGATTGATTGATTTTGATTGAAAATGAATATGATAGTGAGACAGATAAATTTGCACTTCGATAAATAATATGTTTTAATCAAATATTTGTTCTACGTCATAACATGCATGCACGTGAAGGATTACGAATTGGAGAAACTCAAAGGTCGGGAAGGTTGAAAGTGTGATATGCGTATACGATATCTCCTTTTTTGAGGAGATTCGATGGCGTAATGGCTGGCGCGCTTGGTATGCGATACTGTTGTTAAGCAACTTTAGCAACGGTCGGTCATAGGATGGGTGACCAAAAATGTATTACCTCGAACTCCTCCGTGATTCGGAAATGTTAAGCCATCAGTCCCGGCTGCATCTGCAGTCGTTAATACACTAATCCGCACTGGGCCCGCTTGGTGGGTCGTGGCCCATCCTCCCTATTCGATTCGATTCAATTCCATCTATAACGAAGATCTGAGCCAATGGGGACAATTATAGGCTGGTGATGAATATCTCCAACCAGTTTCTCAAGTCTTTCGAGATCATCACGCTATGCAGGCCGGGCACTAGCTCTCGTCTTTACACCTTAGTTCTATTTACCTGTGTATGAGGTGCTTCAAGAGGACCGCATAAGCTAGGAGAACAATTTGAGGGTACGTTCTGTTTGCATGGTTGGTTTATGTATTCATTGATTGGAACAGGAGACTTCATCCAATCAATCACGTCTTTCGCATTAACCTGAAAAAATAAGCATGATGTTGATTGATTGAAATTACTAAAAGATATGCTGGTGAGTAAGTTTATGATAAATAGATAAAATATAAGTATAGATAAAAGACACAAACTAGTTTGTAAAAGATAATTTTGATGTATAACCTCATATTACACTAGCTGTTTTTCTGTGAATTCGCCTGCATACATTATACCCTGTGTCAACCCCGTATGATGTAGCTTCCCGTAATTGATAAAAACATTTAAATAAAAATGAATCAAAAATTCTAAATTTGAATTTTTGATTAATAATTTATTAATTTTTGATTAATTTAAACGATTATCCCGAAAGAAAATAATATGATAATGATAAAACTTACCATAAACACATCATTTAAGTTATTAATGACGTTCAAGAATCTAGCAACGGCTCTGAAAACCGCAGGATTAGTTCTCACGAGCCATTCGTGCGCGTAAAAACCAAATGGTGCACGGTTTCCCTTATAGTGCCTCTCGAAGTTTTGGCTTATGAATTGAAACCAGGCATTTTCGTCATTCATGTCAGGGCTAAAGAAAATTAACATAATAAGACAGACGTTAAAATGGTTATCAATGTCTTAATCAAGATCACTTTTACAGATTGTGTACAAATAGTTAGTTTTTTCTGAAAGATACTAAATTTCCGAAAATATATATTTTTAAAGTTTTCTTCTTAATAGCGGTGCAAACATTTTGTTGTTTCCGAGTTGATGATCGTAATATTTAATACATCATATTATATGTTATTTAAATAAAATACTTACGGAGCGAAGCATGCATCTACCATAGCGCAAGGGAAACCAAGAAGGTCTCTCCAAGCAATCATCGGTAACACCCAAGGTCCAGGTATCGACGCTGTAGGACACGGAGGAATGGGGCAGTCCTGGATTGATGCATAATCCAATGTGTACGGCCACAATCCTGGGTCGACGAAGCTCATCGTAGGCCAAGAGGCATCATATAACATGTTATTATCCTTCAAAATCTCGAAGCTAGCATTACCCGCAAGTTGGAGGAAAGGCATTCTCATACCTGTACATGACACAGAAATGAAGAAGTTTTGTAATTCAAAATTAACTATTTATAAAGACTAATAAAGACTGGGTATTGGGAAGAACCGGACAGATATTTAGCAAAGAGTACTTGCTGTTCTCTGTTTTGTTTCATACAGACTCATGTATTAATATGATAACTTTTTATTTAAACTATTTCAAATTTCCCCTTTTAGCACTTTTTTAATAGATCATTAAAATGATTTGTACTTTACTAACCTTGGATAGCAGTCAAAGGAATATTTGCAAAGTGCGACATTTGTATTCTCTGATCAGAAAATTCTCTTTCAATCGTCTCCTTGTTTGCTACTGCCCAATATGTTTGTGGTGTCTGGTGTGTCATTGAGTGTAAGGCGATTTCAAATCCGTTGTTGTAGAGTTCGTTTACTAATTGATAGTTTGTATACTCGTGGTTCACATAGAACGTGGCTCCAGCAGGACACTGGTTGGAATTTCTCCGGCCGATTAGCAACTCACGATAAGTAACCATATTCAGAACGTTTACACTGTCGTCGAAAGTAACCACGACGAACTGAAAAATTTAAGTTTTGAATAAGAAATCAAATATTGAGCTCTTTACTAAAATCTTAATATAAAATTGTTTGCCTTGAAGTAAGCAGTCAAAATGGCACGTGTGTTCGGTAATCCTATTAATATATATTTTCCTATTAATATTATAAATGTGAAAGTTTCTTTGTTTGGATGTTTGTCCGTCAATCACGCCGAAACTTCTGAAGCTGACTTAGATAATAGGATACTTTTTATCCCACTAAACATTTCCCTAGGGTCTACGCGGGTGAAGCCGCTAGCGAAAGCTAGTTAGAAATAAAACACAATAAGCAATGTATAGAAAAATAGGTTTCTACTCGTATATTTTATTGAAGCTGGATTTCATATATAATCCGTTAGGTTGTTTGCCCACTATATCGTATCATACTATGACCATAAAATAACTGGCAAAAACATGTTATATATTCAAAAGTAGTAGAACAACATACACTAGCTGGACCGTTTCGTTACCGACCAACGGAATATGCCGAGTACTCCATGCATGGTACACTTTGGTCCTCTGCATATTATCTGTGGGCCTGTATTATATGGGTTACATACGGACATGTAGTGGATCGGGTGTATTGCCATAGTCGACTGTATTGTTTATTTAGCACATTTAACACAATAACAGTGAAAGCACTGTCTAAAGAGTCAGTCAATTAATTTTATTTTCACAAACTATAATACTATCAATTGAATAACTAAAATGATTATTTTAATGTAAATGTTTTTGCAGCGTAATTAGGTACCTGTGGTGTATTCCTAGGAGCCAGTCCTCCAGGTATTGCTGTGGATGAGCACCGACAAGATGGTAATTTGCAAGATTCTTCATTGCATGGTACAGCTAGTTCCAATTCTTCAACTTCCTCATCATCCGCCACAGCTAATGCCACCAAGAGCAACGATAGTAACACCAAATACCACTTCATCGTATAACTAATTCAATCCAAAGTGAATATTAGAAAAGCCTATCAAAGTTTATATATCAAGTTTCTTTTAATCTAATGATAGATTATTTATATGTAATTGAAATCAGAATTATGCACACTCAGGCACACTTTTGCCAAATAATACCTTATCTTTGTTGAGGGATGACGTTGAAAATATTGGTTTCTAGGTAACTATATATTAAGAATAGTTTATTTTAACTTTCTTTTATTTAACTTGCAGTGTATTACAACTTCAACAATTCAACTTCATGCTCTACAAAACTGTCATATTTCCCCACTCGATTTTAAGCCTTAACATGTTGGGTGTAGAGATCAATATCCGTTACATTTGAATTCTGATGTGCAGCCGTGTGTACAATGTTTATGTCACTGTAAGACTCGTATATTTGAAATCATAGGTTTTACGAATTTCATTAAGAATTTCATGAAAACAGACGATTATTCGGGTTTTCCCCATTAGAGCTTGGAATGTGTTAAGTTTAACCAATGGCGTTTACTAATATGTTGATAGTGAAAACAAAACAATGAGTAGGAAGTAGGTGAAATTTCTTAATCTTATATTACAATTACCTATATAATTTAGTTAATTAATATTATTTTAATTATATTAATTTTAATATATATAATCAGAGCATATCTGAACTGTATATCAAAACACCATACAAATCTTTCCCGACCAGCTAAGTTCCTGATTGCATAAAAAAATGCATTTCCGTGTTGTTTGTTTTACCGTATTTGGAGGTAAAATCTTTGTGTATTGTGATGAAAGTATGAAATTTATAACGATTATTGAACAGTTCAGACTTTTACCTTTAACAATGCTAAATCTTAGATTTTAGATGACAATCTTAAGATTAACTGAACTTCTGGTTTTTATAGTAACATTCAAGGCCTCAATTCTGCGAATTTAAAATAATTATAAAGTAACTGTTAAATTTGTTTATTTATTAGGAACCCGATCTAAAATGCATTAAAAGGAGTGGTAATAGAATCAGAATATGATTTCAAACAAAATTAATAAAAAATAATAATTAGAACAAATTTTAATCTTTACCGAAAGTTTAAATATTTGTAAAAATATTTATGTGGATTGCTTTAAAAAAAAAGTAGAAAAAAAGTTAGGTTCTGGGTAGCTCGTGGTTAGAGCAGTGGCCCGGATTGAGAAAGGTCATGGGTTCAAGTGCCATCTCAGAGGGCCAGGGACAAAGTGGATGTTTTAAGAATATTCATATAATCTGATGTGCTGTGCAAAATTGCCTCATAATTTTGATTTATTCTTTATTAATTCGTAAACAAGTCTTTGACTTTGAACACATCGATAACAAAGATATGATATCGATGCAAGCAGTAGCGCACTATCATTATAATAAGTATATTATAGAAATATTTATATTATATTCATTAAATGATAAAGTGATAAAATATATTAATATTTGGTGATTATTTGATAACGTATTGATGAAATGTCTTATGTGATATATAATTCTAAAAACGACCCTTCACTTTGCTTTATGCAGACCCACCAACTTATCTGTGAAATGTAGAAAGTGGGAACTCCTGCCGCCATGTTGAAATGTAATTCGATTGTCAGAGTCTTCTACATTCAGGTGCTGTTTTCTGTTGCGATATTTCTACATTTTCAGCGTTAATTTGTCAAAAGCGATTAAAAGCATCATTAATAAGGTCAAAGCCTTTTTTGAAGAAGAAGCTCGGGTGCAGGATCCAATTATTCCATTTAATCAAGTATACAAATGAATTTCGGCAGCTACAGGTTAGTGTTGTCTACTTTCTTTTTGTAAATTACCCGATATTTTTTTCATTGATTACTTTTAACGTAGCTGTAACTTAAAAAATATAAAGCTGAGTGATTCAACAACCTATAGTTCTCGTCACGTAAAAAGAACGCTGGAATAGTCTGAGGGGCTCTCTCGCATAGGTACCGTTTGGCTAAGCTCTCCACCCCACTGCCTTCCAGCGTTCTCATTACGTGACGCCATTTGTACGCTAGCTGCATAAAAATAGTTACTCATACTTACATTTAATATTTTAACTACATACTTAAATATATGTATGTAAATACTTAAATAATTTTGTCTATATTTCAGGTGTGAGTCAAGGGCTTATTTCAAAAATAGTTTAAGAACCCCAGGCAAGGAGAGAAAACGTCAAAGTGGGTTTATTTATGTTGATGATTTTGACATGAGAGTTATCCGGAGGAAAGTACATGAATTTTACTCTAATAAAAACGAGTTACCGACTGTTAAGAAGCTCCTAGAGGTCTTAGAAACAGAAATAAATTACACGGGACAAAGAGACAGTCTATAAAAACTGCTCCACAATATGGGTTTTCGTTTTAAAAAGTCGCAGTCTAATCGTAAAATGCTCATGGAGCGCAATGAAGTATCAGCTTGCAGAGCAAAATACTTGCATGCTGTAGAAAAAAATTATAATTATACTCATTTATTGAGATGAAACCTATATATACTCATCGCATACATCAGGTAAATGCTGGCAAGGAGAGGATGTAGATGGAGTGTTAGAGCCTGTACCAAAAAGGCAAAGATATATTATTGTTCATGCGGGAGATCGTCCATACCGGATTTGTCAAAAATGCTCTTCTAGTTTTTAAGTCTAACACAAAAAGTGGTGACTATCATGACGACATGAATAGTACTAACTTTAAAAAGTGTATTTGTGTTAATAAAATACGAAGTACTAATTCTTTAAAGAAAGATATGCAATTATGGTTGACACAAAATAACATTGACTATGGAGTGCAAGTTCATCAAAATAACATAATTATTGTCAACCGGGATAATAAGTTATTTTTAAGCAAACTTTTGTTTTTTTTTTACCCTCACATCGTTAATCTGCTAGGGCACGGGCCTCCCGTGCCCCAGCAGTGGGGACGTATATGGGTTGATGACGATAATGAAACTTTTGTTTTATTCTATTTATTAACTAGGTTTGGTTTAAATAGAGAAGCTAGTACTAAGCTATGGATTTTTTGTATCAAGCTTGTAACTGCTGAATCCATCTAAGTAGGTACTTATGCAAAATGTAGAATTACTTTTTTTATATAACGTTTATTTGCAAGTTCTATCTACTTTGCTAAGTATTTAGTTTGTAAGTGGGGTATCTACGTTATATTATTTGAATGCCGGGGAAAAAGCTAATGTATGTATTTACCTATATTAATTTTCTAATTTTTTAAGACTATTTAGTACTTATATTCACATATTATTATAATAAAACAATATTGGTTAAAATAATAAAATTATGTTTATATGTTTACCTAGTTTCTTATCTGACATACCCAATCATGGGTAACTTTTATTAATTTGCAACACTAAAGCGACGGTGTCGCTACCACTCAGTTCACAGATAAGTTGGTAGGGCAGTACATGTTTTGACCCGTCACCAGTTTAAAAAAGAGTTTGATTTTTTTTTTGCAATAGTTCCTAAATTACTTCATTATAATGTGCATGAAATGCTTAACGTTATTAAACTATTTAAGTCGATAAGGATAAATAACGTATCCTTCTAAATGGTTTTCCTATTATCGCATTATATGTGACCAATTTTTAGAAAGTTATAATGTGTTAGTAGGTATGGATAAATCGATATTACTGGGTTTTATTAAGACTTATTTACCCAACATATTAAAAAGTATCAAATATCAAACAAATGGTAGTATCGATTACTATCTCAAGGGATAGCCTTATATTTATCCTTAAACATAGGTTTATGCTATAGTTTTTTTTTCTATTGGTGATATTAAATATTTTGTTTCGGTTTAGTATCTACGCACAATCATGTGAAGGAAGTTAAGTTTTTCACGACTTGATGTAATGTATATCTTTGTTCTTATTTTGCACAGGATTTTTACGATTCTAGAGGTTTCCCAGAGTATCAATAAATATTTGCTCATACATAGCAGGAAAACATTCAAAATAGTCTTATTAAAACTACAATAATTTCATTTAAAATAAAAAATTGACTTTATTTTTATTGAGTTTTCTTTATTTATCTAATCACTATAACTTTAGAGTCCGAACGGATTTCCACGCCATGGGTAAACTCTTGGACACACGTTACAAATTTGCATCCAGAATTGTTCCTGAAATAAATGAAGACAGCGATTTATTAAATTGAACAGAGAATTTCTCATATCTATTTAGTTCGGTTGGTTTATCAATAGTTCCTTTTAATTTCTATGAATCTGTGGTTTCCTAATTTGACTATAAAGTTTGAAATTAGATCAAAGAGTTCTTTATGATTGTTTGAAAGCTCGTCAAAAGAGTCCAAATTTTTGCTTAACGTTTTAATATAATTATAACAATAAAAGATGACCTTCAGAGTAGAAAGGATTTTATAAATTCTTGCACTATTTAGTATCAATTACGAAAATAAATGTAAGGTCAATTTATTCTCTTTTGTTGACTAAATTTAGTCAACAAAGGTGTGCAAAATAAAGAATATATGCCTGCCAATTTTGCCGATGAAAAATTAACAATCAAAGTAAGCAACATTAATATTGACTGTATCAGGTTCCACAAAGTATTATATGGTGTATTAAATGTTGCGATATGAATCTTCTCATATATGTTATTCTAACTTGTTGTCAAGTAGTTGAACTGGAAATACTAAATAACATGATACTACATGAAATCTACACAGCATAATACGACACATCACTTGCGCAATGACACACCTATCAAATCTACTTTCGACGTCACACTTCACTTCTACTTACTTGTGTATGAGAAGCAGGAAGAGGACCACACTGGCTAGGAATACAGCTAGTAGGCATATTCTGTTTGCACGGTTGATTTCTGTATTCATCGACTGAGACAGGTGACTTCACCCAGTCAATAACATCCTTAGAATTAACCTGGAAAAAGCGTGAGCATTTTTTATAAAATAATAAAACCAGACTAAAATGCGTTACTTCTTTTTACTTGAAACATAAATATTATAAATGCAATTATGGATCGTTTGATTTGGCATAACCGTTTCTTAATTTAAATGTCAATAATATTCTATGAAAGAAGTATTTCATTAATTATTAAACTTACCATGAACGCATCATGTAGGTTATTCACAACATCCAAGAACCTAGAGAGAGCTCTGAAGATGGCGGGATTGGTTCTCACGTGCCATTCGTGCACGTAAAAACCAAACGGTGCACGGTTGCCCAAATAATGCCTTTCGAAGTTTTGCATTATGAAGTTATACCAGGCATTTTCATCGTTTAGATCTGGGCTAAAGAAAATAAGTAACAACAAAATCATAAATATCATTAAGTATCTATATAATTTGTATCACTAGCTTTATCTTTGTAAAGATTTGCTGAACTTGGCTTTGTAAATAAATATAATGTGTTTATGCTTGACTTTGTAAATAATTTCGATAACTAAATATTTGATTTATTATTTTAAAGAAATATTGCTTAGCATCGAAAAACCTTAAAGTAAAAGTTAATACATTACCAAAGGACAACAAAATATTGCAAAATGATTATGTAATATAAGTTTATTTTAACAAGAAATCACTTACGGAGCAAAGCATCCATCGACCATAGCGCAAGGAAAGCCGAGAAGATCTCGCCAAGCAATCATCGGCAACACCCAAGGTCCAGGAATAGAAGCTGTAGGACACGGAGGGATGGGACAGTCCTGGATTGATGCATAATTCAGCGTGTACGGCCACATGCCTGGTTCGACGAAGCTCATTGTGGGCCAAGAAGCGTCGTACAACATGTCGATGTCTTTCAACACCTCAAAACTAGCGTTACCCGCAAGTTGGAGGAATGGCATTCTCATACCTGCAATATGATAAAAGTATTATAAATCATAATCTATGACTATATACAATACATATATAAAAAAGGGATGTCCTGAAGAGGTTGTATTTTATCCTGAAAAGCAGCATTTAAAGAGATGAAAATGGGAGTAGAAATTTTTATAGGGAATCAAACCGTTACCATAGCAACCATTGTTTATTTTTTGATTTGTAATTTTAATAAGTATATCTTTATTATTCATAAATACTAATAAAAAATACATTTTAAATATATTTTTTTTGTAAAAGTCCACGTATACATCGATTTATAATTGATATTACATACGTAAGAAAAACACTTTTTAGCCGATTGCGCGACGCAAAGGAGGGTAATGTGTTAATCAGTCTACGTATGTATGTTAGTTTCTATGTGGCGTTCTAGAGACCAAATGCGTAAGCCGATTTTGATGATTCTTACGTCAATCGATTCGTCTTAACCTTGCGAGTGTCACTAAAGACATGACAGTAATCAAAATTCATCACAGCGACAACCAGACGCCATATTTTCAAAATGAAAAAAAATCTATGAACTATGTCAAGTGCGACGTGGTTGGATAGGTACTTTAAAATTATTTTTAAGTTCCTTTTATCATTTTTCATTTTAAACAATAGTTTAGAATATATAAAGATTTAAAGTTGTGTAACAAAACATTCTCGCTAATTTTCTTACTTATTGATTTAACTTTTTATTTAAAGTATAAACAATATACAAACAAAAGAAAAAAAACACTTAAAAAGCATGAAGAACAAATATTTTTGGTAAAAAAATTAATATAGCTTTGAGCCGAGTTAGGTCTCTAGAGGGACTAATCATCAGTAGTTTATACCACCGCAAGTTACTTAATAATCCCCCGATATTAACTCTCTCAATAAAATGACTAGATTGCGAAATTTACCATCTTATAACGAAGTCAACGAATCGTAACTAAAAAGTATAAAATAAAAATAAATAATTTAAAAAGAAACAAAAAACCCGACTGCGTATAAACGAATTTTAAGAAATATATGAAAAAATTTAATTAAATAAAAACTAAAAAGAAAAAACAAGCCCAGTAGTTTAGAATTCGGAATAGTAATACAAAAGAGAACGACTCACAGTCGGGGCCCATTCAAATTTTACCAATCAAATCTTCCCAATGGGCCACGCGGGCAAAACCGCTGCCGGAAAGCTAGTATTTAACAATTTTTGGTATTATATAAAAACATCAAACTCACTTTTTTCTTGTAAAAAAAGTCATGAAAAAATAAAACTGACTTCAAATTTAAAAAAGTGATAAATAATACTCTAATCTCGATTAAGTCGCCTTTGAGATAAGTATAATTTATCACTTTTTTAAAGTTTGAAGTCGGTTTCTTGAATAAGTCGCTTTTGAGATAATAATGATTTATCACTTTTTAAAGTTTGAAGTCGGTTACTTGAATAAGTCGCCTTTGAGATAAGTATTATTTATCACTTTTTAAAGTTTGAAGTCGATTCAATTTTTTTAATATTTTTATTTTTTTCTTCTTGGGTACGGTATTTTACAGTAGGCATGGCCTTAGATTAATTCTTTATTTATGTATTCTAAAATTTACTAACCTTGTATAGAAGTCAAAGGAATATTAGCCAAGTGTGCCATTTGTATCCTCTGATCAGCAAATTCTTGTTCGATTGTTTCCTTGTTTGCTACAGCCCAATATGTTTGTGGAGTCTGATGTGTTATAGAATGTAAGCCGATTTCTAAACCATTGTTGTAGAGTTCGTTAATTAATTGATAATTGCTATACTCGTGGCTCACATAGAATGTGGCTCCGGCAGGGCATTGATTGGAATTTCTACGGCCGATAAGCAACTCTCGATAAGTTACCATATTCAAAACGTTTACACTGTCGTCGAAAGTTACTAAGACGAACTGAAAAATAAAATAAATTACCATAAAAAAATTATTTGTGAGTAAGATAATACATTAATACTATGGATCAATATTATACTTTAATGTATTGCTGTGAGCATAATGTCAATAGCATTTAAATAGAAGTCTAAAATGGTTTTACTGCTACATTGTTTTATTTTAATGCTTAGATTTCATAAATACATCGTTTTCTATTTAGTTCTTGTTGTCCTACCGGCAACTCATATGCTAAGCAATTAACATCCAGTTTTATAAACGTTCGAAAAGGTTTATCGATGAAAAAAGTATCAGTATTGTCATTTTACAGGAATCACAGTTTCAAATGACGTTTGTAGGGGCAAGTTTGGCAGAAACGTCAAAAAAACAAAAGCCAAATAACTAATTGATTACTAGAGCTCATTTTGTGAATGCGAGTTGGACGTAGGAACTGTCGACCATATTTTTTTTAATTGTCTTAAACACCCTTCTTCCTAGTATGATGTCATTTCCTCATATATTCCCAAATCCGAACCAATTAAGAACCAAAACCATATTAAGAGTAATAACATACGCCTTTGATTTGTCTGTCATAGAATTTTCCTACATCGTAGTACTTCATTTGTGTAAGTCTGTTTCAGGTAGGTAAAATTTAACTTCAACAAAATTCTAAATTTAACTTGGGCTTTCACTACCAACATAAAAGAAGCAGAGTTTATAAAATACTAAAATATGAAGTAAACTGAGCGAAACACTGCATTCTAGTGGATTTCGCCAAACACAAGGACAACGCTATTAATTAAAAATAAGAAAAGAAGATTTTGGTTGCTTTTCCAAATCAGAGTCTTGTTACGATATCGATTATTAAGTGTCATTCGATTTACTGGAAATTATAAGTCTGAAAATTTCGGTCAGTAATTATAATCTCTTCTTAGATACCATGTTATAGATTTCAGTGACAGGAAAAACTGAAAAAAAAACCCGGACGAAGAACAAGAAAAGTTAGAGACAATTTTACACACCTAAACGAGTTGAAGGTGAAAAAATAGTTGTCATTTTAACGCCAAATAAAACATTACCACCAGATTTGAAATTTTGCAATAATAAAAACAATAATTACCTGTGGTGTATTCCTAGGAGCCAGTCCTCCAGGTATTGCTGTAGATGAACATCGACAAGATGGCAATTTGCATAATGCCTCATCGCATGGTACAGCCCGTTTCAATTCTTTTGTTTCTCTTTCATCTCCTTTAGCTAATGGCACTAAGAGCAATGATAACAATATCATATACAACCTCATTTTGGCTCTAACTGAATCTGAAGTGAACTTTACAAAATGCTGTGAAAGTTTATATATAAATTTATTTTTATCTAATCATAATTAACGTTATAATTTTACGTTATCAAAATTATAAATAATGCACCTGCAGTGATTTATGAATGATCTTATCTATATTCTATAGAAATATGGAGGATTTTGTCAAATCTTTATTGGTAATCAACATCTAATCTGTACCGATTTACTACGTCTAAAATGTTAGTATATTGTCCTTAAATGAGAACTTGTGTAGGTTCCATTTGTTATTTTTCATCGCTCAGCGATGGTACCAGTATCATATCAGTGAATTACTATAACCAGTATATAATAGTTAGATGGACATCTGTGAATATTTTAATTAGGAAACCACATGTATTATACATATGTAATACAACAATAGGCGATAAACACAGTGTTTTGTACATTAAAAAAATCATTTAAGTTCCAACATACTAACGACATAATACATAACGATATTTCGATATTATTTTGGTGCATTTATTAACTACATACTTGAAATTGAAAATTTTAATACATATAAATATATAACTACCGTCTGTTTAGGGCTATTAAAAGATATATTAAAAATAATATTTAAATATAAGATTAATTACAAAATAATCTTAAGTATGTTCTATTACTGAACTAAGCCGTAGACAAATTTTATACATTGACTGCAAGCTTGATTGCCTAGTAGTTGGCACCATTCAATCTGCGAGGCAGGCTTATTATGTTTATATATATATATATATATATATATATATATATATATATATAATGTTATGACCTGTTAGTCATAACTGACCCAAACAAAAGGATATAGACTAAAATTTTACTAACCCGAGTACCTTCATGCTTTGGAAGGCACATTAAGCCGTTGGCCCCGGCTAGATTTGAAGCTGTTAATATCACCATTCCGCAGTGGGTCCGTGTAAGGTAATCATGGCCATTGTATCATTCATAATGAAGGCCTGTGCTGATGATGATAATGTTTTATTTACAGGAACATTTTACGAAGTTATATTAATTCCATTGTTATTAGGTTATTTAAGTACAGGTTTGTACCGGATATACCGCATCATATGTCGATCGATATATCTATATCAAGATATAATTTAATCTGTTTTATACAGGAAAATATTTTTATCAGTGCACACATTTGTCCTTAGTTTAATATCGTTACTAAACATAATTCTTTTCGACGATTATTTTTTTTATTGATGATTGAAATTTTTGTCTTCATTTTTATTACCAATTTTTATGGATGTGTATCTCTACACCTTTCTTTCTATATACATAGTTTATATTATATATATGATCTTTATACAAATATACTCTTTGATGTTTTATATTGATATTTACGTTACGTATCTACAAGCGTGTCTAAGCAATGTTGTTATGTATCTGATCCTTGTTTCTATTTTACTTTCATCAAGTTTCCCTAATATAATGTGCTATCGATAATACAATTTTTAAGTTTATTTTCTTAGTAGTGACAAAGACGAAGGTGACGATGGGGATGGTGCGGCCACAGCCGGTGCGAAAATATAACATTTATCTTCACAAATGCTTATATCGCCCACAAAACAGGTGTTCCATTGAAGATCAATATCGTTAATAATACAAAAAGTAAATATAAAAACAAAACCAAATATTCCTACATCAAATATATATAAATAAAGCTATTCTTATATAATTACATCTGCTGGTTCTGAACAAGTAGTAAACAAAATATAGGTATACAGATAGATATCGCTTATTAACCTACGGGTACAGTTGGTATGGTGCTTATAGATTTTCTTTTCTTTTAACTCCCATATTGGCTGGTTAAAAAAAGAATGAAAAAAATGTGGATATTATTAAGCACAAGAAAGAAAGAAAAATCATTTATACGAACATAATGTTAAAATATGTACACTGATTACACTATTTTCCTGTATATTTTTAGGTAATTTTTTATTCACTTGCATTCCGTCCTGGTTTTTGATGTCTATACTGAGATCTTTTAACTTAGTGAGTGATTTATGAGGAAAGTTTATATTCATACTAGTGTTAATAATGAGAAAGTAACGTTGTCTATCTGTTTTAGTGCTACTCTGATTTCAATGAAAGATGTAGCGGAGTGTAAACAACTCTGTGGGGAAGGCAAAATCTTTGAATTTTATGTAATTTGGCGGCAGCATGTCAATGGCTATTATAATACCAACTTTTCGCCAGCGTCTTCGGCCTCGTGGTCCTATCGTGGTACAGGACCGAAGTACTTTGCAGCATTTGGCTCGGTGCATCTCTGGTATCATAGGTATATCAATAGCCTACGAAATTCTGAATAGTATCCAAAATTTATATAAAAGAAACATAACTGTGAAATTGCAATGGGTTCCATGGCATATTAGTCTTAAAGGAAATGAGGAGGCTTTAAATTAGTGGTACCTACAACTACCTGGTACCTACCTAATTAGTCAACCTACTCGTGAAACCTGGTTTGATAATATTAAAATAAGCAGATATGACATTAAATTGGTTTTAAAACTCTGTCCTGGACACCATCCAGCGGCAATGTTTACATATTTAATGAAAATTACCAACTCAGATAAATGTCGATTCCCAGTTCTTCAGCTACATCGTAACTACTAACATGCTGATCGTAATCCACTTTTTCAAAAATAGCATCCATTTAATCCGTAACGTTTTATTACAATTTCCAGACCAATAACGCTTAAACTAAATTTGTGCTACTCTCACATAAACTGCAACATGCCCATAAACGTTACAAAATTTTGTAATAAAATTTTTAAATGTATCGAATTTCTTCATTAGATTGGCTCATTTCGACAATAAGGAAAAAAAATTACACATTTTCTTAATTTAAATTCGGAGTTATCTTCTTTTTAATTTAAAGTTTTCATTGATACCGAAACCAGCCAGGTACAAATGGTATAGCCAGAAATATTTTATTACAAGTTTTTATGCGAAAAGAGTTTTTCCCCAACCCAACAACATATAGGGCAAGAAGTTTATAGTATAGAAACTTTTTGATATAGGGGTAGGAATGTTCATCGACTTCTTTCTGAATTGTGAACCAACTTCTATCAAACTAGCTGTTACCCCGTGACTTCGTCTGCGTACATTAAAGCCTATGTTCTCTGCGTATTATGTAGCTTCCCGTAGATTAAAGACTTATAAATAGGTCCAATAGTTTCGGGGCCTATCCAATGCAAACAAACAATGAAATCATTTCTTTTTAAAATATGAATATTGAAAAAAAAAAACAATATGTAGAGCAAATAAGTAAAATCTCCCTTCCTAATACTTTCACTATGTTGAATATTATATATAATATTTTTAGTCTTACCTATTAAAGAAAAAATATAAATATCACAAAAAAGCACGAAATAAAATCTAAAAAAAAATAGAAGCGCCTTTAATCTTCAAAAATGTTATATATCAAAGAAATCCATTATCATAAATTTGATGCCAAAGAGAAGGTTTTTTTCCTGGGATTTATTAATTTACATGCCGAAAAATTGTAATGGAGTTATTAAGTTGTTAACTAAAAGCTTGCAATTTATTAATAAATTCTGTAATTATTAAGTTAAAATTTTGTAGTCAACAACCAGGCTCTTCATTATTCGTCAGGCCTACTAGTTCTTGGGTAACTCAATGGTTAGAGCAGTCGCTCGGATTGCGAAAGGTTATGAGTTCAAATCCCATTTCGGGCACGGTTGTATGGTGATTTCTTACATATTTTTTATTAGATGAATGTCAACTTATTCTTGTAAGCTAATTATATTTATTGTAAATGACCTACACAAAACTGCCTAATTTCAATAATTTTCTTTAATTATATTTTAGTAATATATATACGTACCTGTAAAGGATTAAAAAAATAAATAAAGAAAAAGTACTGGCAATTTATTATTATTTATATATTTAAATAAACATTTTAGATAATTTTTCAGATTTTGTAGCAGTAATCAAATTTCCCATCATATTTATGCTCCTAGAGGATTTCCAAACCACGGGTAAACGTTAGGGCACGTATTGCAGGAAGCCATCCAAAATTGTTCCTAGAAATATAAAACAATAGTGTTATATAGTCATTATTATAGCCAATAAACCCCCATGTCATCCGTGAAAGAAATAGAAAGGAGTGCCTGCCAATTATCTACATCCAAAATAATCATACTATAACAATGGACACTTGCGACATGGAAACAATCACCTTTAACTTTATTATTTCATTACATATGTATTACTTAATAATTAGTTCTAACTAAAACAATAGCGAGATTCAGAATACACCTAACGCCATCTAATATAGCGAAGCTAAACTAAATGACTTCATTGTAAAGAAAAATTGGGAATCAGTAGGACACAAATTTTATTATTGTTTAGTTTTAGTAGAATAAAGTGAGCGTTTCGTTTTGGAAAACCCTGATTTTTATTAAAGAAGAGCACTGCATCCCTTTGCAGCAAATATTGTAAGGTTGAAAAAGGTTATTGTAAAATAAATTTCTGTCTATTGAAAGCCAATTAAATCTAAGGTCTAAATAGCGACATTGAATCATCTAGGTACACTATATCTCTCCCTTCACGTATATGCCATTTTCTTTTTCTGAAAACGAGAAAAACTGTTGATATTTAATCTGAGCAATTAAGTTATTAGGGAGCAGTTTGATGACTATTGTTAAAAATACGCTATGGCTGGCTCACAAACGGTCTTCGAGCATTTACATTACATTTTGATTGACTAGTTCATTTATCATATTGAAATATTACACCCACCTGTGTATGTGTAGCTGACAGAGGACCACAGTTGGTAGGTAAACAAGGAGATGGTGGATTTTGAGGGCAAGCCTGGTTCTTATATTGGTCTACAGGTACAGGATTCTTGACCCAGTTTATCACGTCAGCTGAGTTCACCTGAAAAATAAATAACATTTGGCTACAGGCTTGGTTAAATCTACTAAAACTATTAGATTTTTATATTCAAAAGACAAAGACAAAGAATGAAAAAAAAAATTGAAAAGCATGAGTCGTTACTTTGTGGAAATACATTGCAATAAGCAATAAGTATAAATTGCATATCTAAATAGTAACTGTATGATATCTATTTTCTTGTTAATAAATATTCGTATCGTAACTATACCTCTTTTCTATTTTCTGTGATAACTACACTACACATTATATTATTATATGCTCCGGAGTAATTAGGCCTTTAATTTCGAGCATCCAATGAATAAAAATTAGCAGCCACTAACTTGGTGTCAAGTAATAGCATTGTGAATGCAAAATGTATCATAGTTTTATATATATGTATTTCTACGATAATAATGTTGTAAGACCTTTATTGTCGAGTAGAATGATAAATATGAGACCCAAAATGTTTGTTAAGCTTTTTATTACCATTTAAATAATCCCTAAGGCTGCATAGGCCTTCCTTATCGATGGAATTGAATTAAATCGGAAGAACAGGCCATTGTTAACCACTTAGGCTCACTTAAGATTGATGGGTGATAACTATTGCAGATGCAGCTGAAACCAACGGCTTAACGTATCTCCCAAAGTACAAAGGAGCTCCAGATAATTTGGTTACCTTCCCATTTTTGGACAAATTCGCAAAGGCCAGGCAGCCCTTGCGAAATTTGGTCAACCTCGGCAGCGCAAACTCGTGTTAATCTTTGTGCCATCAAGCTTCTCTCTCTATATTATGTGCTAATAATAAAGAAAAAAATATTGATTACCATAAAGACATCAGGCATGTTATTGATAGTGTCCAAGAATTTAATAAAAGCGTTGTTGACTGCAGGGTAGGTGCGGACGAACCATTCGTGGATATAGAAACCGAAAGGTGCACGATTATTAAAATAGTGTCTCTCGAAGTTGGTACTGATGAATTGGAACCAACCATCCTCATCGTCAAGTGCAGGGCTGAAAGAATTTTTAAACTGAGAGTTAAAAATACACACACACACAATACACACATACCTACATGTATGTGCAATTTAATCGAATTAGTACAGTGAAAAAGTTTGAAGATGTTAATGATCTTCAAACTATTTCACTTATCATATACTTCATGATTTTTTGAGCTATAATAATGTTATAAAGAGGAAAGATTTGATTGTTTTTATGTTTGTTTTTATCGAATAGGCTCCGAAACTACTAGCCAGATTCTAAAAATTATTTCACTTACGGGACATATTACATCATATGCGGTGAACATAGACTATATTTTACCCCGAAAAACAGCAAATAAGGGGATGAAAATATTTAATAAAAAAAGGGAGTATTTAATAAAAAGTATAAGCGTGTGTTATATGTATAATTACTACTATTAAATTTATCAATTTCTTTCTTTAATCTATGTAAAATTTCATTCGTCTCCAACCGCGTGATTTTCATAAAAAGGGGCTTAAAGTTCTTTTCATGCTTGAGTAATTTATTTTCAATGAAATTAGATATTTCTACCTCTTACGGCAGGGAGTTGGACAAAATTATATAAGATAGTAACTTTCCGATAAAACGAATTGCTTCAATTTACTCTTTTGTATACAAATATTACTTATAAAGCAATTAAAAATTTATAAATTCAAAGAAATCAGAGTCTCCTTTATTTTAAACAGCTAAGTGTGAATACAGATGTTAGCTTTTTTATTTTATTAAAAAATACTCACGGTGCGAAACAGGCGTCAACCATGGCGCAAGGGTTGTTATTTAAATCTTTCCACGCAACCATGGGAAGTACCCATACTCCTTCAAGAGAGGCACTTGGACATGGAGGAAGTTGACAGTCTTGATTTGAGGCGTAATCCAAAGTGTAAGGCCATAGGCCAGGCTCGGTAAAAGTAATAGTAGGCCAGGAAGCATCGAATGTCATACCACTGCTTTTCAGGACTTGAAAACTAGCGTTACCAGCCAATTGCAGGAAAGGCATTCGCATACCTGTAGTAATTTTTTAAATTCATAAATTGCACTTATTAATTCGTTTTATAACATTTTTCACAATTAAAGTTACAACTTACTGACCTTGAATCCTTTCTAACGGAATTTTGCCAAAGTGAGACATCATCTGTCTTTGGTCAGCAAACTCCCCTTTTAGGGTTTCGTAATCAGCTTCGGCCCAAAAAGATTGAGGTGTTCGGTGGGTGATGGAGTGTAAGCCGATTTCGAAACCGTTCGAATATAGTTCATTCACCAGTTGGTAGTTAGTGTATTGATGGCTGACATAGAACGTGGCTCCTGCTGGACAACCGTTAGAATTTGAACGGCCATATAAAGTCGAGCGGTATGTCTCAATGTTCAGGATATTGATGGCATCATCAAAAGTTACTAGAACAAACTGAATAAGACAAATCATGTAGTATAATTGTAATATTATTTTAAATATACTAGGAAATGAACTATTGAACGTTTTCAATATATAAATGAACTTGTCGTGTAGTACGTTCTTATCTTGGCAAGAAACGAGATAAAACCAACGCCATCAATTAGATAAATAGACTCAGAGTATGGCGTATTGCATGAACTAGAGCGTCTTACTCGCTAACCTTTGCGATTATGTTTATATTATATTTTCAATAAAAGAGTATTATTATGTAAACAATTTAACAAAAAGGGGAAGTCATGTTTTGAGATGATAATAATATTTATTTTCTTTGTACAATCCAATTTCTTTAACAAAACCAATTAGGCCCCTCGCCCACGGCGACTTTTTGTAGCGATACAGTCGCGCGTTCGCTAAACGCGCGACTGCATCTTTTCTAACGCGTGTTAGTCGCATTTGCAACGCGTTACTAACGCACTACTGCATCGCGATTGTATCGATATAAATGCGCGAGACCGCGTCGCGCTACTAACGCACTACTGCATCGCGATCGGGACTCACGTCTTCCTGAGTATTCGAATAAGATTGCAAAAAGAAAGGCATGGGAAGAGATAAATGAATTATTCAATGCAGAATTTGGAGAAAAAACCAATAAAGAAAAGAATGATTGTGGTAAGTTATTTATTTAACTTTAGTATTGGAGCCTCCGCACACACAAAATGTGTTACAATGTACTTGAGTCGGACTTCGCATATACCGTACTTTATCATTAAAAACGCAGATGAGTGTTGAGTATGATGAGATGTTCTAGAATGAGTAAATCAGAAAACAAAAATCAAATAACAACAACTGATGACCATCTGGTCATCAGTTGTTATGACCATCTGGTCATAATAACAACAACTGATGACCATCTGGTCATCAGTTGTTGTTATATGATTTTTCTAAAGATTTTTGTGTCGTATCTGCATCGCGACCGAATCGCGTTTGCATCGCGACCGAACCGCGTTTGCATTGCGACTGAATCTGGTCCCGTGGGCGCGGGCACACAGCTAGCGACTGCTTCGCGTCTGTATCGATGCTACGCGCGAGAGCATCGCGACTGCATCGCTACAAAAAGTCGCCGTGGGCGAGGGGCCTTAGACCTCAGTGCGTTTTCGTAAAAATATGAAAAATATTCTTTATTCAAATGAAATTCTTGAAAGCACTTTTGAATGGTTTAACCTTACATTTAAGGGTTCAACATTTTAATCCTACAAAAGATGGATAGAATAACTTTTTAACAGAATAAAGATCACAACAGACGGTTAAGACGCTGTAATATTTCATCATAAGATATCTAAAAATAACAAATTTTAAGATCTTAAGCTATTACATACGGTTAAGATACGATAGTATAAATGCTATAATATTTCGTATTTTATGATACTATCTTAACTTATTAAAATATATATTTCCGTATCGCTTGGCATTATAAGTTATTTAAAATGAAAATATTATATTATATTAGCTGTGCGTTGGGCCTTTGGGATTCTACCTTTTCGCCGAAAATTATTTGGGCAATTATAACTTGCCAACCAAAGATTCGCCTACCACTTTGACAATTAACGATTAGCAAATTTTTGTGTGACAACATTTCATTGGTAGAATTATCGTTAAGCTGATTATTATTTTGATAAACAACATTTGGGATATTTATCATCTGTCCAATCTTTCACTAGGCCACACAACTTTTAGACGAATAACGTTTCATCAATGTATCAGTTCCCCTTTCATACATTGATAATTTGACACTTTTTCCTCTAAGTATGTAGATTTGTGTTCAAGAACTTTGTTATAAGTATAACAACAGAAACATACAGGTTAGGTTAGGTTAGTATATGATAAACAACGCACAAGCCGATCAAGCGAAGCGAGCGTGCCGCGGCAGCGGTCGGCGAAGTGCCAGAAGCAAAGCCATAGTTAGATTAATTTAGGTCACATTAATTGTGAAATTAGGTGTGACAACAAAGAAAGAGAGAAGGGGCGTGTTAGGTTGACTGTGAGATAACCAGAATCGACTTAGCTAATATGATATTTGGTAAACAATAAACAACTTAGTGAAAATTACACTGACTGAAACATTTTGCGACTTGAACATTGACATTTTAAAAAGTGTCATTATAAAAAGAACACCAAACGTGCAGTTATTAAAGTTGAGGTTGGGAAATAAAACAAAATTTTATAAAAAGAAAGTTGCCAAATAATTATTTGGCGAATTAAAATTCTATGAAACGTTAGTTTAGTAAGTGATAATCAGCCAAAAAATTTTTGGCGAAAAGACAGAGAACCGGGCCATTGGAATGTATGGGGAGCGATATTTTATCTTAAGATATGATATTGTAGCATCTTAACCGTCGGTTACGACTTTGTTGTTTGAATTCAAAGTCAGGTTCTTGTAACTGTTTTGTTATTTCAAATGTTTTAGTTTATTTTAAGAAAGATGTCTTTGGCTTACATGAAAAATTAACGTAAGTGAATTATGTTGGCAATAGTTAACGATGTTTACCTATTGACAATAAAATAAATATTATAGTACAAAATTAATAATAGTATTACCTTACGGTTATATATTTTCATCAAGGAAAGCTATACTAATATTATAAAGCTGAAGAGTTTGTTTGTTTGAACGTGCTAATCTCAGGAACTACTGGTTCGAAGTGAAACATTATTTTTGTGTCGAATAGACCATTTATCCAGGAAGGCTTTAGGCTATAATCTAACATCACGCTGCAACTATTGGGAGCGAAGAAATAATGGAATATGTGGAAAAAACGGGGAAAATTATTCATCCTCGAGGGCTTCCGTTGTGTGCGTTGTGAAAACGGTTCAAAATACCAAAAATATATCTATGAAAAACTATGCTATGATGACAGCAATCGATACCCAAATAAACAGTTCCCTAGGGATCACGCGGGCGAAAAAGCTTGTATATTATATAAACTGTTATAATAAAACCTTTATTAAGTTTAAAATTTATTATTTAGACAATCTACCTGCGGCGTATCCCTTGGCCTAAGTCCTCCCGGAATTCCTGTGGATGAACATCTGCAGTTTGGCAATTGACAACTTTCCACATCACACAATTCTGCCAAAGGTAATTCCTCCTCATTTTGAGCAGCAGCTATAGCCACCAAGAGTAAGGAAAACAGCAACCAAGTCAACTTCATAGTGACTCTATTTATTACTGTTATAGGTACTGAATCATTAGCTGTTAATTCTGTCTAATTTATATTGCTTCCGTTTTATCTATATTGATTAAATCGATAATGTAAATGTAAGTCCCTTACGATGCTTTATATCTAATCATATCGCATATTTATTAATGAATAAGTTTGATTTTTTCTATTTGCCTATTAGTTTGATTAGTTCAAATATGTTAAAAATTACTTCATTAGAAGATATATTGTTATAATATTGAGAACTCGAAGATGAAATGGAAATTAATACTATGCCTGCCAGACCTCGTTACTACAGGTCTGTGTTATGACTGCGACGGTCTTATAGACAAATATAGTAAATGAGACCCGGCGGGCATGTTTGCAAACTTGCCCGCGGGCATGCCCGTCTAGTGAATTCCCCGCTTAAGTTACCAGGCCGACAAGATAGTGGTGGTTGTCGGGATAGCTTTGATTTCTGGCAGTTATTGGTAATATTGGATTGTAACATTTGATCAGGTACGTTGCTGTCAATTTACCGTGCCGCAATAAAATTATATTAAAAGATAGAGCGCAATATGAGCATTCAAAATTGCATTTTACTGAAGTTTCTTGCACGTGGACCCTATGATTTTTAGGGTTCCGTACTTAACAATGAATTCTTATAATTTCGCATGTCTGTCTGTCCGTTCGCCCGTCCGTGGTTCAGTTTAAAAACTAGGTATTAATACTAGAAAGTTGTACTTTGGCATGAGTATAAACAAAGTGGACAAAGTGGTAAAGTAGAATGTCGTAAAAAAAATTTTAGGCTACTTCCCCTACATGATGTGTGGGGATGATATTTTTTCATTTTCTCAATATCGTGGAGCATCATTGGATAGATCTTTTAAAAACATTAGGGGGTGTGGTAAGGCCTTTTGTCGATTGAAGGTGAACGTCCTATGTCGGCACGCACGTATTGGTCGCACGACACGTTTGTTTTATGGGAACCCCCTTAAGTATTTACAATATACGATTTTTTTAATTCATTGTTATAGTGGTAGAAGAAATACATTTTCTGTTAGGATTTCAACTGTCTAATTATCACGGATGATGAGATACAGCCTTGTGACAGCAAAAAAAATCACATGTGTTTTATGGGAGCCCCATTAAATATTTATTTTATTCTCATTTTTAGTATTTGTTGTAGAAACGGCAACATAAATACATCGTCTGTGACAATTTCAACTGTTTAACTTTCACATTTCATGACAGAAAGCGTAGTCTTAGTAATAGAGTTTCCGTTTTACCCTTTGGGTATGGTACTCTGAAAAGAAGTTTACTAAATTATTATATTCGTTGATCTTTGCATTCACAATGCTGTACTGAGAAATATTCTTTGTGTAAAATGCTTAAAAAACCACTTTGTCCTTGGTACTCTGAGATGGGACTCGAACCCATGACCTTTTTCAATACGGTCGACTACTCTAACCACTGAGCTGAACTGGAGCTTGAACCCAGGACCTAACAGGACTGACGAATTTTTCAAGCACTTGTTACTTTTTCGCTGCTACAGAGCGTTTTTTCATCAATTTTCAGGAAATCCACCCAAACAGCCGAAAGAAACATTTTTACAAATATTCAAACTAATTTGATCAATTTTGTATTCACAGTGCTATATTGAAAAATATTCTTAATGAAAAATTCTTAAAAAGTCCACCTTGTCTCTGGCACTCTGAGGCGATTGATCTAACTACTGAGCTGACGACTTTTTCGAGCACTTGTTATATTTTCGTCACACGCCGACACCTGTTTACACCTACAGCGAGTCCGTAAACGATTACAATAGGAAATTTACGTGTCGTTATGACGATTTTATACAGTAATGTATTATGTATTATATATTGTTAATCGTTGTTGGGGTGTAAGGGGGTCCAAACAACATTTAACGGATCCTAAGCCAGCCTCACCTGCACGCGGTACACAATGCCGACTAACCAACGAGGCTCTGGCGCTCCCCACCAACCCGCAGTGGGCCAGCGTGGTGAGAGACGGCCCAAAACTCTTCAAAGATTTGAAAAAAGACCCAATTGAAAGTGCCCGGCAGTGCCGTAAGCCGTGCCGGTGTGGACGGACGCCGACTCGGCAAAGGCACCAGGGGTGCGAAGAATCCCCGGGCGGCAAAGATCTCCCGTCAAGCGATCTTGGCCCTGGCAACGTAAAAGAAGGAATTGGGCACGATTCGTTGGAGTACTGTAGGATTATCAGAAGTCTGAAGAGATGGCGAGGACACGATGATCCTTGAATCCGGCAACCTGCTCTTTTTCCGGGAGGGCGAAGACTTTACATTGAAGACATCCCGGACGTGCAACAAGATTAGTGTGTCTCTGAAACAGCTCAAAAACAACAAGGCGCCGAGGGATGACCGAGTCACAGCGGAGTTTCTGAAAGCGGGTGGACTACCAGTCTGTAAAGCGCTTCAGAAGCTATTTGACTCCGCCATAATCGAGGGCAAGACGTCAGAACCATGGCACAGGGGCATGGTGATGCTTTTCTTTAAAAAGGGCGACAGGGCCCAATTGAAGAATTACAGACCCATCGCGCTTCTGAGTCATGTGTACAAGCTGTTTTCGAGAGTCATCACGAATCGTCTCGCACGTAGATTTGATGACTTCCAACCTCCCGAACAAGCCAAAAAGGTTACAGTACCATAGACCACATTCATACGCTGCGACAGGTTATACAGAAGACCGAGGAGTATAATCTGTCACTATGCTTGGTGTTTTTGGACTATGAGAAAGCCTTTGACTCCGTCGAGACCTGGGCCGTGCTTAGGTCACTCCAGAAGTGCCAAATAGATTATCGATACATCCAAGTGTTGCAGTCACTGTATGAAAATGCCACCATGTCAGTCTAATTGCGAACCTCAAGTTGCAGTGGGCAGGGCACATCGCTTGCAGGACTTACGGGCGTTGGGGCGGTGATCTGGTGAAGGTCGAGGGAAGCCGCTGGATGCGAGAGGTGCAGGATCAATCACATTGGAGATCTTTGGGGGAGGCCTATGCCCGGCAGTGGGCGTCTCTCGGCTGAAATTAAGATGATTGTTGAAGTATGGTGCTTTGGGGAAAAACCGAGAATAGTGAAATTCCGAAAATGACGAATTACCACCAAATCAGAGGGGCTACTCTATTTGTCTACTAACGAAAATTACAAAAATTTTGAATCATTCTTACAATTTGTTATAAATCATATACGTCAATATTATCTGTGCACCAGAAGTAGTGTCAGGGTCCTACTTCCGTTTCATTATTTATTATCGAAAAATGTGTTCCTTTAGGGTCGTATTAGGGTTTCGAAAGTAGAAGAATTTTCCTTTTCAGAATAACAGAGTAGGCCTTCAGGCAATGTTTTTTTATCAACTGTTGATAAAATTGACAGATAATAATACTTTTAATAGTTGTTAATACTTTAAATTAGATAGAACAAACAGATTGCTTTATTAATGTCTTTTTGGAATTTCCCCGTATTCGTGATTACCCAAAACCACCTTAAATCCTATTAATATTATAAAGGCGAAAGTTTGTAAGTATGGATGTATGGATGTTTGTTACTCTTTCACGAAAAAACTACTGGACGGATTTGGATAAAACTTTACAGCAATATAGGTTATACATCAGAATAACACATAGGGTACTTTTTACTGGGAAAACTTCTCACTCCCACGGGATACCGACTTCCACGCGGACGAAGTCGCGGGCGTCCACTAGTTGAATTATAATGCAAATTAGCGATTTTACGTTGTTTTTTTTTGGAACCGTCATGTTGCCAAAAGTATACTTATTATTATAAGGAGAAATAAAATATAAATAATATTTTGTAGTAATATATCTTTTTATTAAAGTAAACATGAGCTGGCTTAGTGTTATAATCTTGAAAATAATATATAATAAATATCTCGGATAGAGAATGTAATAAATGCCGGGAAAATTTTCCTCGCGTGATTATTTATTTTTATAATGGGCACATGTGTGTTTTTAACATTTATAATAAAGGTAATATATTGGATATTACGAATATATATACTTTATAATTTTAATTGCTCTAATTACACTCATTTATTTTAAGTCGTGCCGCTAGATGTTTCCATTTCGTACGAACAATGCGCGTATTGTGCGATACACGACGATAAGAAATTTCTGGCACGTCGTAAAAGTGTCAAATAACTTAAAGTTGTTTGGGTCGTTTATAAGCTTCGTAAAACTACAGTGTTTACATTAGCCGGCGAGAGAGCGTAGCAAAGGCGTCAAGTGGCGGGAGTGGCAGTGTCAGATTACCGATGATGGTGGGGATGAGTGCTTACGCGCGATTTATGACTTTGGTGACCGAAGGGATATAAAATACTAACCCAAAATTAATAATAATAAGGTTACGAATAATTATTTCTCGCACATAAAACATACTCAAAATTAATAGAAAGTTGTATTTCTTATCAGCATTAACAGTGAAGTATTTATTAATATCATATACGACGTAAATCAAAGACTTTTTATCTTATCCATTATAAATAGATAAGCAGCTTATTAATAAAGGAAGTATAATAAATGATATCAGCCTTTAAATAAATGGGCAGGAGACTATCCCCACTCGTAAATAAGTCGGAAAATTTTCAACACTAAATTCCACATATGTATTGGTGCTTCGTTAGCGTCAAGTAGACCTAGTAATCTAGGGATTATGACTATTTTCTGTTTGTATGTCCGTCAGGTAGATTATTGAAGAATATTACACACATATTTTCTATTTTTTGCGTCATCAATAAAATAAGTTCATACCTACATTGAGTTAAAATGTCGCATGATGTCACGCATATACGCAGCAAGCTCGACTCCTCAACTATAATGCCTAATACCTAAGTCACTTCTTGTTTTTCTTATTTTTCTATTATCTAACTAACAGACTAAATAGAATATCTTTTTTTTACCGAGGCATCATTCCAAAGGTGATCGAATATATGATTAAAATGTATTTTGTGTCTGTCCCACTCAGCGGTGGTGAGTGGGCGCATAGGTTGCCCGCTATGTGTGTGCTGACCTTATCGACCAGCATACAAGAGCCATTAGGCGCGCAGACCGTACGTTGGTGAACTATTTAAATCACTGTGATTAGCTCATATTTGTCAATCTTTTAAATTTTGCTTTATACTTAGCCATAATGCTCTTGA